CCCCAAAACCCCAAAACCCCAAAACCCCAAAACCCCTTTTTGACGATTTTTAGCTGAAATCACTAAGATATATCGTCCATTGGGAGCTCGTCTGGATCACAAGAGTCAGGACTCTTGTTGAAAAAGGGGTGGTTAATACACTGTTCAACTGTCAATCTTTTATTAGGGTCTAACACTAGTAACCCCTCTAGGAGATTTGCAAGATCTTCATCAATGCCTGGGAATAATATCCTGAATGATTGTGGAGGAGTTTCTTCAAACTCTACATAATGAGGGAGATTGGTAACTCCTTCCCATGTCTCTTCGCTAGGAGTTCCCATGATTTTAAAGATTTGACTCATCTGGTCTATATCATTCCTTCCACAGAACAGAGTACCTCTGAGTAATAATCCTCCTAGAATTCATCCTGCAGAGAATATATCTATCTGAGGTCCATAATAGTTGGCTCCAAATAGAATCTCAGGAGCTCTATAGTGCAATGTTACTACATTCTGAGTCATTGGTCTATTATTTGATGCAAAGAATCTGGACAGTCCAAAATCAGAGAACTTCAGGACCCCATCTTCAGAAATCAGTAAGTTATTAGGTGTCAAGTCTCTATGGATAATCCAGTTTTTGTGCAATTCCTTCAACCCATAAAAGATTTGGAGCATTATGCACTTGATATGCGGGATGGTTAGAGTAATCGTTCTAGAGAACATTAGCTTTGATAAATCACTCTTCATAAGCTCCATCACCATAAATGTAGAGCGATTTATGTGGAATACATCAACAAGGGGGATTATATTTTCATGCTTGATCTCTTGAAGAATATTTATCTCCCTTAATGTAGTGAAGTCAATCCCTTGGATTTTGAGCCTATTAGCTGGTAACTTCATCTTCTTCACAGCAAAATATCTATAAAGTTATCATAATTCATACTTCTTTGGTGAGTCTGGGGTGGTTGCGGTCTTTCTGTCTTTTATATCTTCAACTTTGTAGACAGAGCCATAAGACCCTTTACCTATTTTCTTAATCATCTTATATCTTCCGATCAAGAGAGGACTGAAGGGGACCTTAAACTCTTCTGGGTTATTTTTCTCCATTGAAAAATTAGTTTCAATTCCAACAATTTTCAGCGGGGTTTTGGGGTTTTGGGGTTTTGGGGTTTTGGGG